ACCTTTGAAATAGAAATCTCGAAAATGTGGCATATGGGAACATCAACAATCCCTGTTGTAGTTGGAGACCTAGGACTGGTTGGAAAAGATTGGAGTAGACTAATTGAAGGGATTCCTGGAAGTCCATGCCTCAAAGAGATACAAAAAATTGTTCTGACAAGTACAGACCACACTTTACGAAGGGCTTTATCTATGTATTTTTTTTTTTGTCAGTGGAAAGTGTCACGATGCCATTTCTTTAAGTGACAAAATGTTATAAAACGGTATATATGTTTTGAATCGTTTCTTATGTCTACATTTAATTTTTATATCTCATAATGAAGAATTTTTTAACTCAACTTGATTCTTATCTTTAATAATAAACTTTTCCGTCATGCACAGATCGTTTTGTGATAATGCATGGCAAAAAAAATGAAAAAATGTGTATAACATAAAAAATCATTCAAAATTTAACACCGTTTTATAACATGTTGTCACTTTCAGTTCCATCTTGGTTCAATAACATCGGGCATGTCATTTTAATGGAATGACTATTATGTTTATTATGTTTATCTATATATATATATATCATTGTGATGTTTATTATGAGGCGCTATGTTTTTAATTTTTTTTTTTGCGACAAAATTTTTTTAATTTTTTTTAGATTTTTATATTTTGATTTATATGTAGATGTATATACTTGTGTTTGTATGTGTGTATATGTGTATATATGTTGGGAGTGTATATATGTATATGTATATATATGTATATATATATATATATGTGTATATATATATATATATGTATGCATATATGGATGTATGTATATGTTTCAAAAATGTGTATTTAGATGTGTTTATATATGTGTGTGTGGATGTTTTGGTATGTATGTATTCATATATATCTGTATATGGGTGTATATGTATATATATACGTATGTATGTATAGTTAGACGGACAGATATAGGGATACATTGTTTATTTATTTGTTTAGATGGGTGTATATAATTGTATGGAGATGTAAGTTTTTATGTATATATGTTTATGTGGACGTATGTGTATGTCCGTATGTGTGTAAATGGATATATATGTAGGAGTGGATGTGTATGGATGTATGTGTATATGTATGTATGTGTGTGTATTTATATATGTATACATATATGCATGTGTAGGTGTATGTATGTGTATATATATATATATATATGTGTGTGTGTGTAGATGTAGATGAATATATATATAAATATATATATATATATATATATGTATATGTGTATATGTATACATGGGTATATATGTGTGTATGTGTGTACGCACCTATATGTAAATGTACGTGTATATGTTATTGTGTATGTGTGTATACGCATGTGTTTTTGAACATAGAAATATAGGTCCTTGCTAGATTAGATAATCGTTATATTTATTTTTTATATGTTTATATTTTATTTGTAACCTGTAGTCGATATTAATTTTGTCAAATTTTCTTAATTACACAGCATCCCTTTCAGTAAATACCCTTCAGTTTTAGTTTCCCCCGCCCCATCTTTCACCCCCACCCCTTTTTCTTTTGTTTTCCTCTCCCTCCCTTTTCTTCTGATCTTTAAGATTAGATCGTCTATTTTGTGTGTATGTCACCACAAAATGTATCCTTTCCGGTTACATCTTTAATGTATTAGACATCCGACAACATTCATATTTCTCTCATTTAAACCGTCTTTTGACTTTTTTACTCTCTAAAACTTCTCTCTGTTAAGTTTTAATCTCCCACCTTCTCTCGTCTGTTACCCCTCTCTATAGCTCTAACATTCGTCCCACACTCTCATACGTACACTCTCTCTAAATTTTATTTCCGGAGTTGTTTTTTCTGTTTTCGTTTTGAATTTGTAGGTCTGATGAATTGGATTGTATTGACGATTCCAATGGAATAAATTATGACCATGGAATATTAGTGTTTAAGCCTTTTTATTATATCCTTACTCTGTCCTGGACATTGAGTTCTACATGGAATCTTTTCTCTTGGAATTTTCTTTTATACAAAATATATATTTATGTATGCATGTATGTATATATATTTATATATTTTGCATATGTATGTGTATATTTACCAGTAATATTATTTATATCTATCTATCTATCTATCTATCTATCTATATATATATATATATATATATATATATATATATATATATATATATATCACAAAAGCGTGAAACGCATATTACAAACTCCGATCAACGCAACTGAATATGTTAAATGTATCACTAATATTGTGTACTTTCCCATAATAATTATTTCTATATATATAATATATATATAGAAATTATATATATATATATATATATATATATATATATATATATATATATATATTTATATATATATATATATATATATATAACTCAAAATTTTTATAATAAAATGAGCAAAACATGATTGAAAAATTTTGCCGAACTTAATAAAAAATTATGTTATTATTAAGAGGAAATACCCAAAAAGTTTTGATGCAAAAGTTTCTTTTTTTTATCGCTTTAGAGCCTTAGAAATTTCGGTTAGAAAATATCTGACTTTTGAAAAAATTTCCAAATCAATATGTTTTCCCGCTAAAAGACGCTCACATTTACCATACAAATTTACGGTCCACGTTGTGGCCAATAAAGCAAGATTTGTGATCAAAATTTCGAACGTCCTAAAAAGGATTAATACAGAATTTTGGCATAAAAAATCCTTTTGTCTTTCCTCCTAATAACTATTACGTTGAGGATAAAGCTTTGTTTTTCTAAAGTTTTGGATATTTTTCCATCATGTATGCAAATTTGTAGCGAATTTTTGAAGGTAGCTATATATATATATATATATATATATATATATATATATATATATATATATATATATGTGTGTGTGTGTGTGTGTGTGTGTGTGTGTGTGTGTGTGTAAAATTTCAAACAAAGTATATGTGTCAAAATACAATATGAATAAAAAAAAAAGGAAAACTTATCTCAGCCGACGCGTTTCGTCCTCTGAGGGACTTTATCAATGCAAGTATTTTCATATGCAGCAGCAAAAATCTTATTGGTTTTGTAAAATGTTTAGCTATAGGAGTGTTCATGAATATTCCTCAGGTTAACAGAAAATCCAGCAAATTCATAAACATGATTGATTTCTCTTTTACTCTCTCTCTCTTCCTTAATTTTAATGTTAATTGTTCAGATGAGCGTTCCTTTGTGGAAACT